ACTAGAAATCAGTGGTTAAGTTGTATTTACAACACTGTTCCAGAACAGTTCAACCCAAATATTCAGATGTGTGCAGCACATTTTATGGAGGACCGTTTCCTGATCCTGGGAGAGCAGACTACAATGCCGGCTGTTCTGACTCAAAGACTGTAAGTATGTTTTTTATATTTAAAGAGATTTTATATTTTATATATTTAAAGCGAGTTTTTTGGGCAGTGTAGAGTAGGGCTTGTTGTTTGTCATTTCTCACAAATGCAGACATGGTTTTATGTTTACGCGGCACAATGCAACGCAAAGCGTAAAAAGACAGTATAAGTCATTATAATCCATAATTATGTCCCCACTGGATGCAACCAATGCCTCGTTTATAATGGGTTTTCATGTTTTTGTCTCGTCGCTCCGGCTGGACAGGGCATCACAGTATGGTAACATTTCCGTCACACGCTTGAGGTATTCGGCCAATCATAACGCACTGGATAGCTGGCCAATCACAGCACACCTCGCTTTTCAGATCGATGAGCTTTGTAAAAATCGACGCGTTTCAGAAAGGCGGGGCATAGAGGAGAAACAATAATGTACAGTATTTGGAAAAGAATGTGTTTTTTTTTTTTACCTTAAACCCCATAAACACATTTCATTTTAGCAGCATCATATGACCCCTTTTTAAATAAATGGTTTCTATTCATCAAAGAATTCTGAAAAAAAATAAATAAAGAACCACAAGAAATATTTCCACAAGAAATATTAAGTAGCTCAGCTATGATTAAAAAAAATCAGCTTATTAGAATGAGTTCTGAAGGATTGTGTGACAATGAAGACTGGAGTAATGGCTGCTAAGACTTCAGCTTTGCCTTCACATGAATAAATGACATTTATATATTTAAATAGAAAACAGTTATTTTTAACTGTAATATTTCACAATATTCATGTTTTACTGTATGTTTGTTCAAATAACAGAATAAATCACACTAGATAAAAAAAAAATACATCATTCAAATTATTTAACATTACTGTTTTAACAGCTTAATGACACAGCAATCTAATAAACACTAAACATGTGCTTACCGATTCCACCAATATCAGATTCTCCTCAGTCTGTTTTGCTTGAGAAACGTTTGCTAAACTGATGGCTGAAGTCAACATTATTAACCTACTTTTTCTTACTCATTATGACTCAGTCAATAAGCTCAACTGAAACACACCCTTCTCACCGGAGACAACCTTTGCTTCAAGTAGGAAAGAAGTCAGCACTGGACAGCTGAATAGGTTGATAAACACCTCAAGAGGTTTATGAACATTTCTGAACTTAAGATAACATTTACTAGTCCTCATTGTCCCTTCATAGTGTCAGGAGGAGCTCATGGACAAAATGAGAAACTACGAAATAAATCACATAAGACTGCATTTAGTTTGATGACCACAGAAACAAAATGAATGTGGAAATTCTCAAGTGTTACAAGAGAGCGGATGACACCTAGATGATTCGCCAGTATTTTAGGGATTGAACAAGTAATGCTTAATTAAAATGATCCCAAGTTACTCAACAAAGTAACACAATACAATAGTATAATAGTCATCACAATACAAATCACTGACGGAGGATAAATGTCACAAGAGTTTTACTAAATGTCACACGATCCTTTCTGACCATCTCAGTTTTATAGAATTTATTACACACACACACACACGCACACACACACACACACACACACACACACACACACACACACACACACACTATTATTATTATTATATTTATTTATTTTGTTAGTTTATTTTATTATCATTAAGTCTAGGTATGGCATTATTATTAATTAATATACTATTTAATAATGCATTATAAATATTACAATTTATTATAACAAAATAAAATGAATAATTAAAATAATGCATTTATCTTGGTACGTCACTTAAATCTAAATGCTGAAATGCACTAGGAGTTGTGTATGCCATATATTCAAATAAAGTTGAAGAATATTGTGTGAACTTTAATGTCTTTCCTTATTCTTCTGTTTGTCTATAATGTAGTCCTGATATTAATAACAATTAGAATTTACAAACTGAGATTATATTAGTATTAATTTATAATTTTATTTTAGGAAAACAAAGGAACTGTTTGTTTTGTCTTTAGAGAGTTTAGAGCTTCATGTTCAGAAGTGATATAGAATAGCTGAATATCTTCCTCTTTCTACAGCATATCAAACTGAGGCTTAAACTAGCAGGAGAAATGACACCAATGCTCATTCAAATACACCTTAAACCTTCGGTTCCCACAGTGAAAGCAGATCTGAATATCAAACGGTAGACTGAGGTGGAGGGCAGTATCAGCACTT